AATGACGAATGAAGCAGTGGGCCAGCATCATAAGTGACAAGAAGGCATCCATCTCTGTCTCACTGCTGGCAGCTGTAGATGGATGGGTGGACGGGCAGGCAGTCGGGCAGCAAAGAGGACAGGTGGAGAGAAGACCCCTGTGCCCTCAGCCCCTCTGGGCGTCTTGAAAGCTGGTCCTGCCGTGGATTGATGGGACTGGTCAGTAGCAGCCAGCACCCAGAGCCAGTTTAGGAATTATCTGTTCAGTAAAAGGAAGAAATCAGACTGGCTTGTGAGCATCTGTGTCTGTAAGTGTGTACTTTCCTCAGAGCCCTCTTTGTTCAAAACTGGGGGCAGACCTTTTAAAAACTCTTGCCTTCCGTCTTTGCTGGGGCCCACCCTCTATCTTAAGAGAAATCACCAACACTTTTGTCCATCCGGCCAGCCCTCCCTTAGCGTGGTCGCCCCTCAGCATGCCCTGAATAAGCACGTTTGCTCTCCTGCTCCGTTGTGGATCTGTTTCTCTGAGTGACGGGCAGCAGCGTGCTGTGGTGGGAGGGCCTGGGGGTCAGGTAGGCTTGGCATTCAGCAGATATTTCCTGAGTGTCGGTTGTGTGCCCAGCTTTGTGCTGGGCACAGGATTTAAAGGTAAATGAAGCTCGAGTCCTGACTTGGAGCCTCCCAAGCAGAATGGGATTCATTGGTGTGTTTATTCACTTGCTCATCTGAACAGTAGTTTTTGAGCACTTACCAGGTGCCGGGCGCTGAAGTTGGCACGAAGCCTGTGATGATGAACAGGAGAAGGGGTCACTGTCTGCGTGATGTAGCCGATCAACTCTAGCACCAGATCTTCCTGCCTGACCTTGAAGGACTCTCTTCCCCTCTCTGGTCCCAGTTTCCCCACCTTTAACAAGATGAAGTCTTCAGATCTCTTCATCCTCCACCTTGTTCTGTTTGGTGCATACATTTGTAGTCAAATCATTTTTTCCTGAGCCCATGCTTTTTTTCTCCCGATTTTATAGCTTTTATTTTCTTTGCTTAAAAAACTTTTTTATTGAGGTGCAATTGACATGTAACTTTATATTGGTCTCAGGTGTACAATAGAATGATTTGACATTTATATACATCTTGAAACGGTCACCACAGTAAGTCCAGTTACATCCATCACAATGTTAACTTTTAGGATTTACTCTCTTGGCAGTTTTCAAGTCTATTGTACGATATTGACTGTAGTTATCATGTTGGACATTACATCCCCATGATTTATTTATTTTGTAGCTGGATGTTAACACCTCTTGACCCCACCCCACCCCCACCTTTCCCATTTTGCCCAGTTCCCAAAACCCTTCCCTCTGGCCACCACCATTCAGTTCTCTGTATCTGTGACTTTTCCCGAGCCCATTCTCGATAGAGACGGGGTGGCGGAGGCTGTGATAGGCGGAATAGTGCCACGCCCCAAGATACTCAAAGAACCTGTAAATCTATTACTTGACATGACAAAAGAGACTTTGTAGCTGTGGTTAAGTTAGGGACTTGAGCTGGAGAGATGTTCCTGGGGCCCACTGTAATCACAAGGTCCTTATAAGAAAGGAGGCAGGAAGATCAGAGTCAGAGAAGGAGATGTGATGCCAGAAGCAGAGTGAGGGGGAAATGTTTAAAGATGCTACATTGATGGCTTTGAAAGTGGAGGAAAAGGACCATGATCCAAGGAATGCAGGAAGCTTCCAATAGCTGGAAAAGACAAGGAAACAGAATCTCCCCCAGAGCCTCCAGAAGGAATGCAGCTCTTCCAACACCTTGACTTTAGGACTGCTGATCTCCAAAAATGAATGTGTGTTGTTTTAAGACACTGAGTTTATAATAATCTTTTAGTAATAGGAAACGAACACAGAGGCCAACTTTAAAGTCCTTTTCAGGGATCTCCAGCCCAGGGGGTCCTCCAGGGCTCCTAGAATTTCCGGGGTCCTGTGTTTGCCATTCAACCCCTGGTTCTCTGCGTGTGCTCGCGAGTGCTTGGGACACCAGGAGGTTGGATGAGGAGGTCACTGTGTGTCTTTGGGCAGGTTACTCAGCCTCTCTGGGCTTCTGTTTTTACCTCTGTAAAATGTGGGTAAGAAGTGGACCTCTCAGGTGCCAGGGAGGATTCCGTGAGCTAATACACAGAAGCATCTTGGCACGCAGGCTGGTACGTAATAAGTGCTTAGGAAATGTCAGTATCAGTAATGTCACTTTTTTTTATTTAAAAATTTAAGAGTTTATTTGATCAAATATCACTTTAAATCAGGCAACATCCAATCTAGTAGATAAAAAAGAGCTCCAAGGAGCTATACAAAATGGAAAATTGTATAGGCAGAAGGGAGAAGGAACAAGGATGTTATACTAGGCAAAAAGCAGCGTGGTTATTGCAGTTACTTTCCTTTAGGGGGTGGCAGGGGTCTTGCAGGCAGAGCACCTAACAAGTGCCAGTCAGGAGATTCCTTTTTTTTTTCACCGTTTAAAAATTTACATGTGTGTACTGTTCATTGTTTCTAAGAATAGTTTAGAGCTTTAGCTTTTTAAACTTACATAGTTATCAAAGGAATAAAGCCAACCACAAAATAAGAATCAACAGAATGCAGTAATCCAGTCATAAAGGACAGTCAGATGTGCTCACACATATTCAAGAAATCAATCATCTAAGTTATAAATAATTAGTTCATTTGTGTCCTTTTTTTTTAGATTCCACATATAAGTGATATATGGCATTTTTTGTTCTCTTTCTGGCTCCACTTAGAATGAGTAATATTATATATATTTTAAATGAATATATATTATTATGTAATAAAGAAATAGTAACCAATGTTGAGTAAAGTTATTGCTGTCCTCAGTCAGACTAGAATAGAAGGACTTCATTGGAGCAAGATGGTCAGTGCCTGCCTGCCTCTGTGAGGCCGCCCACTGCAGCTCTGGCAGTTGCGTGCTCTGATTAGCAGGACCAGCTCTGGTGTGCTGAACCTTTGCTCTGAGCCAAGCCAAGTGTTTCCCTCCCTGGCTTCACTGGATTCTCACAATGATGGTTCTCAGCCAGAAGAGATGGTGCTGTTACATGCTTTGTTTTACAGATGGGAACACTGAGGCTTGGGACGGGGATGTGAGCTCTGAGAGAGAGGCCCCAGGGCAGGTGAAGGGCGGAACCAGGGTTCCTATCAGATCTGTGTGAGGTCAAAGGTTGACAGCTTGGCTGAATTAGTCACTGCAGAGTTCAGAAGGAGGGAGGTGGTGGAGAAGCCTTGATAAAGGCCACGGTGGACAGTGAATAAATACAGAACAGAGAGGCAGGAGCCTCCAGGGGGTTATTCTTAAAGGATACAGCAGAAAGGCTGGTGTCCAGACTTTACCTTGATAATTGGATGAATGCTGGATAATTCCACGTGCTTCCTTTTCCAAGAAGGATGAAGGTCTGTTGACTGGTTGCCAATGGGAATGTTTTTAGGGTGACTGGAATTTAGAATTCTTGAACTAAAAATAGTCTATTACGAGAGTTCACCAAGGACTCAGACGAACTGTTTCCCTAAGTAATCTGATGTCCACACAAGCTTGCAAAATCCCCACTGTGCACATGTCCACCTGGCCAGTTGGAATTCTGGCCCCGTTTTCAGTGCCCTGGTATCCTCATCTTATGTTAGCTGTGACTTTCAGTGATGGCTCTTTAATAAAAAAATCCTTTTAATTAGGGAACATTTCAAATATATACAAAGTAGGTAGAGACATCCAGTGTGCCCGTGTATCATCATCCAGCACCAACAAACATCCCCCCAAAATCTGCCGCTCTTGTCTCGTCTGTACCTCCCCCCCCCACTCAGCGATGATTGTTTTTTATGGTTCTTTTTTTATGAGGTAAAATTTACATACATTGAAATGCACAGATCTTAGCTTTACACTCTTGACTAATGGATACACCCGCGGAACTCACATTCCCATCAAAATATAGAACACTTCTCCCTTCCCAGACGGGTCCCTTGATCTCCCTCCCCACTAAGACAACCTCTGTTCTGATTTTTTTCACCTTTGATTAATTCTGCCTGTTCCAGAACTTCCTATAAACGGAACCATGTAGTAGGCACTCTCCTGTGCCTGGCTTTTTTTCACGCAGGATTCTGTCTGCCAGATTTATCCATGTGGTTGCTTGCCTTGGTAGCTTGTTCTGTTTTCTTGCTGAGTAGTAGTTGATTATATGAATGTACCACAGTTTGTTTGTTCATTCACCAGTTGACAGACATCTGGCTCATTTCCAGTTCTGGGCTGTGGGGAATACAGCTGCTGTGGACATTTGAGTACAAGTCTTGATGTGGACTGTGTTTTCATTTCTCTTGGGTAAATACCTAGGGGTGGAATGGCTGGATCGTATGGTAGGCACATCCTTAACTTTTTAGAATCTTCCATTTGTCTTCTGAAGTGGGCGAACCACTTTTGCACTCCTGTTGGCAGTGGATGGAAACTCCAGCTGCTCCGCGCCCTCGCGCCCTGGGATCTGATTCTGCTCTTTTCAGATGGGCTAATGGATGGATGGAGTTTCTGGAAGGTTTTATTTTTGTTGGTCAAAATAAACGCTTGTTGGGCGGCTGCTGTGTGGTCCAAAACTATGTTTGCTCCAGTTCCTGTTTCTTTGTCTTCCCAGAATTCCCTTCCCAATGATGGTGGGGGTGGGTGGGCTCCCTCCCAGGGGAGGTTCCTAGGGGAGGCATGGTCACAAAAGATCGAGAACTGTGGTTCTGAGGGAGGCACCGGGGTTTCGCCCCCTGCTCCATCTCTGCACTCCCCTGGGATTCTGGCCTGATCTGGAGTGGCCAGGGGCCCGAGTGTTCTGACCTCCCTTCCAGATCTGACAGCCTTGGAAGCTGCTCCCCTCCACTTCCCCTTTTGTGGGGGCCTCAGCTGTTGTCACCTCTGGTGGTGGCACATTGTGTGATTGCTGCCCCAGGCCATTGAGGCTATGTGTCTCGGGGTCCAAGCCCACCGGGACCTCTCTCTCTTCCCTACAGATATTGGCCCGGTGACCCTCACAGCAGACCCAGCGGTGTTTCAGAGGGAGCTGAGAGAACTCTATGTGCAGGTGGGCTGCCCCGCCCCTGGCTGCTGGCCCCCTGTGGCCTTCTTCCCAGTCCATGCCAGAGGCCAGGGTCTTTGTCCCACCCTGAGGCCAAGATGGTGCTTCCTGCAACCGCCATGACCTGCCTCCCAGCTCTGCCTGGGACCTGCTCCAGCTTAGGGGTCCTGGAGATTCTGTACTTCTGAGGGTTCCTTCCTTTATTCAGTGAACCAATACCCACAGGAGTCCCTGTGCCCGGCACATAGTAGGTGCTTGTTATTTAGTGCATGGATGCAGGGGTGGAAGGAAGAGGTATGGGGTAGCTGAGGGAGGATCCAAGAGGGGTCACTTGGGAGCCCCCAAACCAGGCCCAAGACTGGGTCAGATGCCCCATGGCCACCTGGGCCTCTTGGCCACAGTGAACACCCTGGCTGAGCATCTGTCTTCCGCGCTCTGGCTTCCTGTAGACAGGGGCCCCTCGGATCAGTCTAGTTCCCTGCCAAGCCCCCCCAGGGCCCAGAACGGGGCTCAGCACACAGAAGGAATGAGTGAACCAAGGAGAGAAGTGTTTACTGAAGTTACCATGTGCAAATCCTGCTTCTGGTGCTGGGTGCGCGAGCCTGGGATCGGCTCCCTTCCTGCAGAGAGATCCTGGAGGGTGGGTGGGGTGGAGAGGGCTGAGCGTTTATTTGGGATCAGTTCCAGGGCGGGCTACAGCGAGGAGGACTCGGGGAGGCGAATTTGAATGCTTTCCTCTGCCCGCCCCCCACCTCTCCTTCTGGCGACCAGTCTACCCCTCTGTCTTCCAAGCCTTGGCTAACACGTGGCTTCTCTGGGGCATCTGTGAGACGCCCCGGTGGCTCCCGTCCCTCCTGTCCCACTTGTAGCACTCATCACCACGTAATTAGATGATCGTGTTGTGCTTATTGGAGTCTGCCTCCCATCCAGACTCCACGGGAGGGGCCGTGTGGCTCGGGCGTGGGTGAGTGAGTGAGTGATACATGAAGCAGGTCGGCTGCTACCCTGGGCCTCAGGGAAGGGAGAGGCTGGGGCCCCGGCTTGACCCTTGGATGTGCAGGACAGAGGCTGCTCGAGGGGACCCCCACCCCCCGTTGGTTTTGGGGGTATCCCTGGGTAGGCCCCCCCCGCAGGGAGGAGGTGGGTGGCAGCCAATGACGTGTCTTGTCCTGCAGGGAGGTGGCGACTGCCCAGAGATGAGCGTGGGGGCCATCAAGGCCGCCGTGGAGGTCGCCAACCCCGGCTCCTTCATCTACGTCTTCTCGGACGCCCGCGCCAAGGACTACCACAAGAAGGAGGAGGTGCTGCGGCTCCTGCAGCTTAAACAGTCGCAGGTGAGCGACCACGTGAAAAAGCTGGGGTCTCCGCGGGCAGCCCCGAGCCCCCCCACCTGGAGAGTGGAGGATGGCGCTTCTCTGGCACAGCCTGGGTCCAGCCTCCGCCAGCCGTGCCGGCCAGCCCTGCGAACGAGCTGGGCTGTGAAGCTGTGAAGTCCAAGTGTGTCCTCATGCTCCGGCCCCACCCGCCGGGCCTCCTGTCTCCCTGGCGAGGCTGGGTCCTGATAGAGACCACGCCACCGGACTCCTTTCACACCCTGTCAAGAGTCCGTGCAATCCATCTTCCTCCTGGCGTCGCCTCTGCTCCCCGTCGCCCGTCTCCTGTCGCCTGAGGGTCTGGAAGACAAGATGCTGGGGTTTTGTCCCATGCTTTCACAGCGAGGGCTGGGGGAGGGGACGTGTGCAGGGCAGGGTGAGGGCCGATCCCATGGACGTCCTGGGGGAAGACCTCGAGGGCTGGGACGCCCCTCTGTTCTCCCGTCTGGAATGGAACAGAGTTGGCTTCTCCACGGTTCTTCTAGCTCTGGGGCCACTTGGAGCGGAGGTGATTTCCATTCCCCTCCTTATAGATTTAATACCAGCTCCCATTTATTGAACACCTGCTGTATTCCTGGCCCTGTGATGAACACCTGACCTGCATCGGTCCTGACCCCCACGGGGTGGGTACTTGTCATTCCCATTTAACAGACGCATCGCCTGAGCCCAGAGAGAGGAAGGGGCTTTCTCCAAGTCACTCCTCCCTGGTGCCAGCCCTACCGCTCACGCCTGAAGCAGACGGCGGGGAAGCCGTGAGTCAGGCCGCCTGTCTGTCTCCTAGGTGGTCTTCGTACTGACAGGGGACTGCGGCGACCGCACGCATCCTGGCTACCTGGCCTACGAGGAGATCGCAGCCGCCAGCTCTGGGCAGGTGTTCCACTTAGACAAGCAGCAGGTGACCGAGGTGAGCCTGCGCTGACACCCCGCGTCTCTGGGCGGCTTTGCCCGGTGGCTGACTGCCATCACGGACGGGCGGTGCTGAGCGCTCGGCGCCCGGCGAGCGTGGGAAGCCTGGTCCATGCTCAAGGCTTTGTGATAGCATCTTGTTGAGCCCTCTCACCCACCCCAAAGGCAGATGCTGTGCGTTTCTCAGTTTTGCAGGTAAAGCAACTGGGGCTTGAAGGAGTAGCCTGGGTTTTAGCCTGGGTCTCCCAGCGGGTCCAAGCTGGCAGGATGGATCTAGCAAAGCTTGGCAGAAATGGATATGTGTGTGTGTTTGGGGGGTGCTTCTCCCCAGAGTTGGGGAACCCAGGGTTGGTGGAGGAGCATGTAGGGGGTCCTTCAGATTCAGGCTGTGTTGCTGGGAGAGAAAGTCCTGCTTGGGGACGTGGCAGGGAGGGGCTTGCTTGGCCCTGGCATGCAGGGCTGCCAATGGCCCGGCACTGACCAGGAGTCTGCATCCTCATCTCGGTCTTTGACCGAGTGCCTGCCCTTCCTCCCCTCCAGGCTCCAGCAGCTTCTCAGGTGTCTCCCTGCTTCCCCTCTGCCCTACACGTCCGTTCCTTCCCAGGAGCCAGAGGGACCCTTTCAGAGACCCTTTCAGTCTCTCAGGAAAGAACAAGAATGCCCATTTCCATGGTGAAAATACTCCTACTCTGGCTGATTTCAAGCTCCCATCATGAAGTCACAGGGCAGAGTTGGGAGGTGATGCTCACAGTTAGCTTTCTTGAGCCTGTATGAGCTGGCTCCTGAACCCCCCAGATCCTCTAAAACAAATCTGACCAACAGGTCCCTCCCCGTTGTCCCCCGGAGAAGGTCTAGCTCTTTATCTGAGTTCCCCCTCTCTGAGCGCATCACCTGTATCCTCCTTTTGCCCTATGTTGCTGTCTCTGCTCTTTCTTCAGTGCCGTGTGCCTTTCCTACCCCAGGGCCTTTGCTCATGCGGCTTGTTTTTCCAGCTCCTCCCTGCCGGCTCCTTCTCATCTTCCCAGTCTTAGCTGAAATGCACCTTGTCAAGGAGACCTTCCTCAATTTCCCATCAAGATTAAGCTTCCTTTCATACCCTCTCCCAGCTCCCCGTGCTGCTTTATATCATTGTCATTTTACAACCGTGCGATTATTTAATGCCACCAGGCTGTGAGCTCCCTGAGAGCAGGACCTTTAAGGTCCTCTTTGCTGCCGCTTCCCCACCAGCATGTAGCAGGTGCTTGGTAAGTAGCTGGAGGATAGACATGGGGTCCCTTGTGCCTGAGGAAGAGGAAGGCGAGAGGAGCTGCATCTCTGAGGCCACCGTGGCCTCGAGCCAGCCCTTCTGCCGCCTCCGGGAGAGAGTTTCGTGCTTTGTGTATTTACGGTCTCCAGGGCCATGTTTAGGTTAGCGCCTTCCTCCCTGTTGACAGAAGGCGTTTATGGTTCTTTGCGACACAGTGGGATTTATTTTTTTGGCATGTCAGCCTGCTCTGGCACCGAGCCGCCCAAGCCAGGAAGGGAGGCATTTGAGTGGGGTGATGGCTTGATCCTTGTTTTAGGGGTGTCCTGTCTGGGTAATTGCTCGGAAACTGGGTTCCTGCTGGGGGGAAATCAGACATCAGGCAGCTGGGTGATGGGGTCGGAGGATGGCTTGCGCAGATGTGGGGCTGGGTTCCCTCAGCCTCTCCCTCAAGGCTTGGAACCTGGGGAGAACCGCTGGCTCCTGGCCATGGTGCCAGCCTTCTGCCATCAGAGCCTGGCTGGGCAGCACACATCTGATGCGGTGGGACCTCTGATGGCCAGGACTGGCTGCCCCTGGGTAGAGGCCGGAGTCCCTCTTCTCTGTGGGCAGAGCTCTGTCATTCATTAGCTTCATGCCTCGTACCTGGCACCTTCCAGATGTTCCCAGACATTTGGCAAGTCTGGGAAAGTGGCCCGAACAGCCAGGGCTGCGGTCACCCCCCAGGAGAGGGAGTGATGCCTTTGCCCAAGCCGGGGGGCTCCAGCTGGGAGGGCTCCTCAGAGGTTGCACAAGTCCCCACACCGTGCATGCACAGTTGGTCCTCTAACCCTTTCAAAGCGCGTCCAGTGTGGCAGGAGCGACACGTTCTGCGACCTCGCTTCCCTTGGTTTACTGAGCACCCGCTGCGTGTGGTGCAGGTCTAGGGGCTGGATGCAGAGAGGTAACCTGTCAAGCTTGGGTCCCAGTGCTTTTGGGTATCTCGCTTTTTCACCTTTGAAATTCTGTGGTAGCTAGAGGAAGATGGAGATCTTCTCCCCCAGCAGGCGGAATTTGGAGATTTCACCATCCTTCCACAGACAGGGAGGCGGGCAACGCGGCCCCTTGGGCCTGTCCCAGAGATGCGCATTTTCAGTTAAGACTTAGCTAAGTCAGAGAAGCTCCTGGCCCCAGCACATCTTCCTCCAGCTCAGATGCAGCTCAGCGTCCTGTCACCAGCTCCAGCAGGATGGGTCAGAATTGCCAGGAAAACCCATGACCTTGCAGCCTTCTCGGGTCCTAGGAAGACCCATTCTGGGGGCTCAGACCCTTTCTCAGTCCAGCACCAGCAGGTACAAATATGACAAATTGCCCAGAATCTGGGCATGAACCGGGGAAAAGGTGAACACTTTCTGAGACAGTGGGGGGGCAGGGAGGGGAGGTCTGACCAGGTGGCTCCGATTAACAGATCAGGAGGCGCAGGCCCTGGAAATGACCTCATCCTGGACCCTTCCCAGAGGAGGCGGTGTGGTGGGGGGTTAAGGTCACATGCTGGCTTCGGACACCAGCTCTGCCACCAGCCTGCTCTGTGACCTTTAGCACAGCACTTAACTTCTCTGGGCCTCCATTTCCTCGTGTGCACAGTTGGGTAATGAAGACCCCTGCGTAAAGAGATGTTGGCAAGGGTGGAAGGAAGACCTCTGGACGAGGCTGGGCACCAGGAAGCCCTGGGTCGGGGTTAGTAGTGGCCGTACCCCCAGTCCCTGTGCTCCGATCTGGAGCGCAGAACACACAGCTCCCCAGCTCCAGCAAAGCCCCCTGCAGAGTGAGAGCTCTCGCTGAAAGGTAGACCCAGGGACCAGTGCCCAGTGGTGCCCAGGTGGCAGAGGTGGTGCTCTTTCTCCATCACTGCCCGCTGAGCTTCCTGACAGAGGAATCCAGCCCTCAGTCTTCTGATCTGTGGTTCTTGAGACCCATTCAGTCCCCCCCTCCCCCGCCACTGCCCCACTTCCCTTCTCCGCTTCCTCAACCATCCTGGCTGTCAGATGTCCTGGGGGGAGCCTCAGGGGATGATTTATCTGCCTCGAATGGCTGAACAGCAACCATCTGGCCAGGGTAGCAGCTCCAGATTCTCTCATTCCTTCCCATCAGCGGCAGAGAGTTGAGCCCCAGTGCATTGCTGGCTCCCAGGCCCCGGGTCCTGCTAACATCTGGAAGCCATTACCTTCACCAAATAAACATTAAGCTTGCTTGATGAAGGCTCTCTGCTCAGAAGTCTCCTTCTTCTCCGAGCCCCGGGGCCATTGCCGGGTCCAGAAAACTTTGGCCCCGGGCCTGGGTCTGCGGGGGTCTGGCCTTGCTGGGGGCAAGAGGGTCAGCACCTCTAGCTCCCGAGTGGGTGATGATGTGCTTGTAGGACAGGCCCCACGGGCAGGCCGACCCCCGCCGGGGTCACTGGCCTTCTGTGCCATCTCAGCCTTCTCCAGTAGCCTGAACTCCTGAGCATCTTCTCTCCCTCAAAACATCCTAGAAGGAGCTTGTAATGAGAGTTGCAACACAGTGGCGGGTGTGACTTGTCTGGGTTAATTGTCAGCCAGTGCTGCCACCACCTCCTGGCAGCTCTGTTCCTGACTCCTGACAAGGCCTGGCCCCGGGGGAAGAGGACAGTGGTCACAGAGCTGTTGCTCACTGTCAGGAGAGTTGCCTCGCTTATTTCGCCAGCTTCTGTCGGCCACTCCAGCTGGGAGCCTTGGCTGCTTCTCACTTCCAGTCCACCCCCGCCCAGACTAAGAGCCTTCTCCTCATTTCTGGACAAAGACAGGTGGGATCTTTTCAAGAGAAACATTAGTTAGGAAGTTAGGCAAAGCAGAAGCATGAAGTAGCTCCAAGTATAAAAACAGATGCATTTTCAGCACACAGAACTCTTATCCTGTGATAACTGAAATTTCACTGTAAAATCTAAGCACAGTTGTTCCAGCTCTATCTGATCAAAATGTATTTATTTTCCAAATCTCGGGTGACTCTTCTGATTCCCTTCTGTTCCCTTTCCCTTCTGTGGAGGATCACATGGTAGGCAGAGCTGGAGGATTGTGATTTAAAGCAAGGATGACCAATACGTAGCATGCCAGACACCACTTTCTAATTCCATATTCATGGCAGACATTGCTAATCAATCACAGAACTTTTTCTAATTGAGGCTAAATGTGGCTTCGCATTTCTCCAAACAGGATTCCAGGAAGCCACTTCCAACTGATTAGAATTGGCAAGCAACAGGACACCCCTATGTTGCTCAGATATGTGTTAAAGTCATGGCATACTTGTTCCTTTTAAATGATTTTCACTTTAAAAAAGTAATATGAAAAGTGTCAAAGATACAGAAAAGTAAAAAAAAGAGTACCAACTAGATTCAGCAATGAACATTTTTGCTTCACTTGCTTCATCTCTCTCTTTCTGTACTTTTTGTTGAATCATGACACCTTATCTGTAAATAATTCAGCATGGATTAAAAAAAAAGGTATTCTCCAACGTGACCCACAATATCACCTAATAAAATTAATAGTACTTTGTTAGTGTCGTCTGATGCCAAATTTCCCTATTTGTCCTGAGAATGGCAAATCAAGATGTAGTCAATGGCTGTGCATTTCATTTGGTTGTTATGCATGTTAGATCGCCTTAAACCTGGAGTAGTCTACCGTTTTTTCATGCCACTAACTTGTTGGAGAGTTGTTGTTTGTATGATGTCCCAAGTTTGATCACTGGGTTAAGGTGGTGACAGCCAGCTCTCTGCATTGTAAGCCATTAGGGTTTCCCCTTCTGACTCAAGTGATCTGTGGGGTAACGGTGGGCTCCCTGTGGACCTCCAGTTCTCTGGCAACCTTTGATCTCACGGTTTTAGCATCTACTGAAGATGCTTGCCTGAAACAATGATTTTTTTAAGGGGTTGCACCATTCCTTCCACATTTACTGATGGGCCTTCTTTCGTGAAGAGCTTTTGCTCATCAAAAGCGATGATTTGGTTTCTCTGAAGCACAATTCCTATTGAAAAAGCGAGGACCATGTTTCATTCTTCCTCTTTCGTTAAGAAGTTGCCTTCGTTGGTGGCAAATGAGGTTCTATTCTTTGAATTTTGCTCTTTTTTTTGCATAGTATTATGGGAACGTATATTATGTAAGTCAATGTGTTTTGATTGATTACAGCCATTATTCTTTTGGGGGCTCGCCTTGTCCCAAATTTAGCCCGTGGGAGCTCCTTGAAGCTGGTTCCTGTGTTCTTTTGACGTGTTCCCATTAGTCTTGGAGAACCTCCTTGCTTTACAAATTTACCAGCAGTTCCAGGCTTACCTTGTAAATTGTCTGCCCGAGACCTGGAATCAGCCGTTTCTCCAAGGAACCCTACTGGGAGATGGTACTTAGAAACCACTGGCTTCTAAATTCGCGCAGAGTGAATTCATATATAAATAAGATGCTTGGAGCTAAAATACACTTGGCTGTAAGAGAAAACCTTGGTTGAGAACACATGAACATACTTATTTCCTTGCTTCATCCTACCAGGGACATGAAACAGTTTCACAATCACAATACGGATAATTCTGCCAACTTACAGCTAGTAAATAAAGAGTTCTTTGCACTTGTTTTGTCCTCCCGCTGAGAGATTTCCGTTGACCCCCTTGGTTCCATATTCACTTGGAGGCATTCTTTTCTCTCCAGTTGGTGCTTATGATACCAATTTGTCGTAAATCAGTTCTTGTTTCATTTTGGTTCAGTTTTAGGGTTTGCACAGGTTGCTTCTTCAAGTAACTTAGCCTGGAAAGAGATGGCTCAGACTGGAGCCCCCGTCCCCATGCCCTGTTTCCTGGTTTTCTTACTGGAACCTGGGGGGCTCCGCTTTCACAAAAGAGGAGGTATAAACTTGGGTAGGGGACGGTGGGATTGAGTGAGACCTCTGCATCTGTCAGGCGAGCCTGGGACCATGTTCAGGAGGCGTGTGCCCTGCCGTGTCACACACAGTGACCATGCATCCTGAACACCCACTCTGCACCAGCCCCTGAACTTGGGACACAGCAGAGGGTCTCTGCTCTCACGAGGCTCCCAGGCCAACAGGAGAGATGGGCATGAATCTAACCAGAGTTGGTTGATAAAGAGGATGCAGGGCATCTCTTTTTTTCCCCTTTTTGGGGGTGGTGGTGGTGATTATGTTTATTGATTTATTTTTCTTAATGAAGGTCCTGGGTTCAATCCCCAGGACCTAATGCATGCTTGGCATGCACTCTACCACTGAGCTATACCCTCCCCACTCCGGGCATCTCTACAAAAGAACAGCATGTGTGGTGGGGGCTGCCTAGGGTGACATGGGGGGTCCAGCCCAGCGAACTTGGGGAGAGTCAGGGGCACAGTGACCCTGGGTCAGGTTGGGCAGGTGAACCACAGAACATGGAGTCTTGAAGACCATGGTAAGGCTTGGAGAAACTAAATAATTTATTTCGTGCTCAATGTGTGCTGTCTTAGACTGGATCCAGTGCTGTGCACATGGGGTCCATGCAATCAGGGGGGTGGTCGTGAGGGAGTTTGAGAACCCCCTAAAACCATACTCTAAATGTGTATCTAATTGGTGTGGTATTCTGGAGAGAGTTACCTGTTGCCTGGTTTTCAGTGGGATCTCTCTGAAACAGTAAGATTTTAGAATGAATGAGCAATTGTAGGAACAAAGGATGTTATATTTCTCTGTTGTGGAAGGGTCAGGTGGAGACTGTCTTTACAGCAGATCCTCTCAGTCCTGCTTAGAGAGCATGGGGCCTGGGTAGGGATGTGGTCTGAGACTCCTTGGGCGAGGGATGGTGAACCACATTGGTCTAGGGGAGATTCCAGATCTCCAGTGTTCATCAAAGCGTAAGAAGCATCAGGAGGGCTTCCTGGAGGAAGTGATGGGTGTCATAGAAGTTGGCCATGTGAAGGAGGAGGGAAGAGTCTTCACAGCGGAGGGGCACCCTGTCCTCGTTCCCTCCAAGCTGGGGCTTCTGGATACCTCCATTCAGGTGTCACAGCTCCCAGCCCACTTATGAATCAGGTCTAATATAGGGCAGTGGGGACTGAGGTGGTCTCAGGTGACTTGGAAAGACTGTTTGCTGCCTAAAACCCACTGGGGGACTGGATTCTGCTCATAGTTGGAAGCCTGTTAGGGACCCGCCTCCTGTGGGCTGAACACAAGGAAGATGTCGTGGTCACCTCCTGGCATCAGCTTCTCACATCTGTCTCCCAGGTGCTGAAGTGGGTGGAGTCAGCAGTCCAGGCCTCCAAGGTGCACCTGCTGTCCACGGACCATGAGGATGGTGGCGAGCACACCTGGAGGATCCCCTTTGACCCCAGCCTGAAGGAGGTCACTATCTCCCTGAGCGGCCCGGGGCCTGAGATCGAAGTCCGAGACCCACTGGGTACGTGTGCCCCAGGCTTACCTCCTCTTTGGCCATAAGACCGAGCTGGGAGTCCAGGATGGGACAAAGAGGCTCCAGGTGGAGGAGAGTTTGGACCCAAGGCTCTGGGAGCGAGGAGGGCAGGGAGGGCGCCCCTGCTGGGTGATGAAGCAGGGAGGCCATTAGCAGCCAAGCAAGGGGAATTCAAATATCAACAGTCCCTGGGCTGCAAGGTTCACGTGATGTCTTCCCCGCATTCTCTCAGTGGAATCCTACAGTGGCCTAGAGAGTTGGTTGGGGCAAGAATTAGTGGCATACCGGGAAGATGGGGAGCTGCGACTCTGGGAGGTGGAGTGACTTGTCAGGGGCCCCCAGGGTCAGTGTGATTTGGACCTGGCCACTTGGCCCCATGGTGCTTCCAGGATGTCCTGAGTACTCAGGTCTAGAGGCCAGGTGTACAGCCTGCACCTGGGGAGGAATGAGGCTGCAGAGCAGAATGAGATGGGGGCCCAAGTACTGCCAAAGGCCTCGTGTCAATTCCTCTGGGAAGCTGGAGCCTGGTGTTTGGAGGGTTGTGGGTTCCTGGGGACAGGACAGGACCTCTGTTGCACCCAGGAGAGGGTCAGGGACTAAGCAGTCCTTGGGGCTTCCACAGGGAGGATCCTGCAGAGGGACGAGGGCCTCAACGTGCTCCTCAACATCCCTGACTCGGCCAAGGTCGTGGCCTTTAAGCCTGAGCATCCGGGGCTGTGGTCCATCAAGGTAGGGGGGCCTTGGATTCCCAGGGTTCGGGAGACCAGCATCACTGAGCTGAGACACCACCTTCCTCCTGCTTGGGTCCCGGGGAGCCTGGGCCCTGGGAAGCTGAGGGCTGGCGCATGGGCAGTGATGTGGGCATATCAGTAGAAGGGCCAAGAACAGAATAGGAGTATTCTGCTTTGCACCAGTGACAGGAAGTAGAGTGATTTGGGGTTAGTTAGAGAACATCTAAGGATTTGGAGAAGCCACCTGAGTGTCCAGAGGTGGGGACCGAGCTGGTCTGTGGTTCATAACTTTGCCCTGTGAAGAATGCACAAAAGAAGCAAGGGTGACCTTGGGCTCAGAGGGACGGGACTGGCAGGGGGAGCAGGGTCTGCTCTAATCTGCAAGGTGCTGGGGGCCTGGGCCTGGGGGCAGGCTGGGCTCCCGACAGTTTCCTGGGATGGGGCAGGCTGCTGCCTCAGAAGGACACAGCTCTTGCTGCTCAGGCAAACATTTATGGAGCCCCTCCTGGGCACCAGGCGCACTGCTCAGTGCTACAGGCGAAGCGGCGGCATCGACCCCTAGCCTTCAAACTCTGAGCATCTTTGAGCCAAGGTCTCTCTTGGGGAGGGGAAGGCAGGGGTTGGACGTGCAGGGAGACGGCCCGGGCCTGTGGCTGTTGTTGAGGGGCATGGGAAAGGCAGGGCAGCTTCAAGAGTCTGTTCAGGACAGTGCGGGAGCTGGGTTTCTTTCACTTCGTTTGGGGAGCATCGTGCTGCGCCACGAGGGTGCAGGTAAGTTGCTCACGTGTCTACAAAGGCGGAAGAATTCCAGCTGCTGACTCTAGGCCAGGTCAGCTCGGCACCTCCTGCCTGGAGCTGGGCTGCTGGGGTCAGACACCCGGGTGACGTGGGCCGGGGCCTGTGCTAGGTCTACAGCAGCGGCCGCCATTCGGTGAGGATCACGGGCATCAGCAGCATCGACTTCCGAGCTGGCTTCTCCACTCAGCCCTCCCTGGACCTCAACCACACCATCGAGTGGCCCCTGCAAGGTACTGTGCTCCGGGCCCTGGGGTGATGCAGGGCTGCCTTTGGGAAGTGCGGGCAGCTCTGAGTGGGCATCCATGAGCCTGTGACCATGGAGTGGGCCCTGCATAGGCGAGGTCCAGCCTCTCACATCACCGTGAACCGCGCCCAGGGCCAGCGCCCTCTCTGTCGGCTCCAGCCCAGGTGCCCCTGGGATCATTTACCTTTAGAACGTCTTCCCTGCCACCCAGTGCCTCCAGGACCTCATGCTGTCCCCCCTACTACTGAATTCACACCTTTCCCTTTGTCTTTGTCAAGACTTATCTGTCTAGAGCCCCACTTCTTCAGTTTTCCTGTGAACATCAGGCTAGTCTAATGCATTCACAGGTGCTTGAGCTGATAGCTTACCCGAAAAGGGGAACAGTGTCTTACTCCAAGGAAGTGAGTGTCCGATGGTTGTTTAGAGATCCTGAAGGCTGAAGGGGGGTGGGTAGCCTGGGGGGATGTTGGGGTTGGAGGCAAAGGATCAGCTTTCTGATTAGAAGCCGCCCACTGGGGTCCAAGGTCGCCTCTATGCCCCCATTGTGGTTCCATCTGGGGAAGGCTGGGCCCCAGAGCAGGCAGGGGCTTCTGGCCCAAGCTGCCAGAGCTCCATGCTAGAAAATGCCATCTGGTAGTCAGAGGAGGGGTCCCAATTTACAGTTTTGGAAAATATGGTCCCTTGCCATGGGGCCGGCCATTCAGAGGATTTTGCTGGGACCAGCTGAGCAGAAGGATGGGGAGGGACCCAGATCAGGTCCCACTAACTCTGCACCAAGGGTGTGTGCTGGACTGTTAGGGCTTTTCCTCAAGTCTGTATCTCCACTAATGTTTGTCATTCTTGTCAGCCCTGGCTGGTTTCCCCATCAGGACCAGCAGTAATATCTTCAAAATGAAATGGGGGATGCTTGCTCATTTTGTGTTTGTTTTTGCCAATAGCAGGAAGAGGGAGAGGCAGAGAAACTTAGTTCCTATTCTAAAGCCAAGAGAGAAAAGAAATCCTAAATGGAGTTCTACAGTGGCGATTGAAAACCGAATGGTCCCCAGTGGAAGAGGGTGAAGGGGGCCAGATGGGACCTTCTTTGGTTTCTGCTTTCAATAAAAATGAGGGTTCAAAGACATTAATAAAAGAGTGAAAAACAGCAGGGCAATTGCAAATGATATATAGCAATTGGCACTTGGCCTCAGTGCCAGGGACACCAGCGAGTGGGGGACGCTGCGGCTAAGTGGACAGAGGGGGCCCAGGTCATGGGAGCAGCTGCTACATGCCATTGGCTGATGGTTGCCACGTGGGAATGAAGCCCAGAACCGACACACTTGATTGTTCAAAGGAATCTGGGCCTCCTGATTCACATATGCCCTTTCTAGATTGCTTGATGTTTTAAAAATTTTTTTAAGGTATTTCATGGACTACAGCAATCACATCCTCTGATCCTTGGTTTATGATCCATGAGAGGAAAAGAATGAATAACTACCGTTCCCAGATCAACTAAGGAAATTATGAAAGCCATGTCTAGTTTTGTCTTTCCTGTGATAGTGTGGAAAGTACGTTTTCATCAAGAGAGAAATGGAAACCAAAAGAAAGCTGAACTTGGGGAAAGGGTGGGCAGGAGGCAGCATTCCCAAACTAGGGCGTGTATCTCACCAAGGCTGGTCCCAGGGCCTGTCTGACCATGGTCAACACCAGAGTTAATGGTGGGGGGATGCCCCTCCCCCGTTCCGCCCAGTGAGAGCCCCAGCCTGCGGAGGAGAGGTGATGCAGCCACAGGAAGCCATGGGTTGGAGGGACAGTGGCATTTCAGGACCACGGACAGTAGCAAGCCCCTCCCACACCTCTATCCTCACCCCAGCATTCGTGGGAACAGGGAAGAGAAGGTGAGGGAGCAGGGAAGGCGGGCCAAGCAGACTGACTGCGCTCCTGGGGCCCCTGCTTGGGAGGATCGTGGAGCTCAGCACAGATGCCAGCACTTTCCTCATCCTTCCTTCTGCAGGGGTGCCCATCTCCCTGGTGATCAACTCCACGGGCCTGCAGGCGCCCGGCCGCCTGGACTCAGTGGAGCTCTCACACAGCTCAGGGCGGTCCCTCCTGACTTTGCCCACGCGGCCTCTCTTCAACGGATCTACCCATCAGCTGTGGGGCGGGCCGTCCTTCCACACCCCCAAGGAGCGCTTCTACCTCAAGGTGAAGGGCAAGGACCCGGAGGGGAACCCGCTCCTCCGTGTCTCCGGAGTTTCCTACAGTGGGCTGACCCCAGGTGAGTGATTGGCTCTTACCACCCCCAGCTCCCTGGCTCCTTTGGAAGCCCGTTTCTTCCTGGAAGCCTTTTCAGATTAGATTAGGAAATGTTTGTTCATTAAAATTCTATCGGCAGCAAGCTTTGCAAGGCAGCATGTTAAGTACTGAGATGCTTTAGATGTAGTCCTCAGCTCAAGGATTTACTACAAAATCCTCCATCCATGCATCCATCCATTTACCCATGCATCCTGTTTATCCAGCCAGCCATCCATCTGTCCATCCATCCATCTGTGTATTCAGCATTCATTTTGTGCCCGTCATGGTGCTAGACACTGTAGACAGCAGAAAGCAGGGCCGTGGGTGCCCTTCCATCATCCTAATTACTATCAGAATCGTGGTAAGGGGGGAAGAAATAGCTCAGTGGTAGAACATGTGCTTAGTATGCACTAGGTCCTGGGTTCAATCCCCAGTACCTCCTTTAAAAAAAAAAACAACTTGTGGGCATCATAATCATGGTAATTCTAGTCTGGTTACCATTTTGAGCACCTCCCAGGGGACGGTCCTGGGCCAAGCACTTGCCCTGCATTAGCCCATTGGATGCTTACAGCAGTTCTGAGCTGTGTCCCCATTTTATAGCTGAGGAAGTGGAGGCCACCCACTTCACAGGGCTGCTCAGAAGGTTCCATCAGCTAATACACATAGGAAGATGGCTCTTGGGTGCTCAGAGGCTGCACCTATGATGTGGGAACTGTGGACTAGGGCCTTCCACATGTGGCAGCTGCTGTTACTGTAATATTGTAGAAACAAGTCATTTTATGGCCCCATCTTTGACCATGTTGTGTTGGTTCCCACATGTATGGCTTTTTGCTGGTTTCTTGTGTGTCCCTGAGGTCTCACCATCCAGGCTAAAAGTTCCCAGAAGGCAGGGCAGAGTCTTTGGCTTTCCAGATGCCTTTGGTCCTAGCAGGGAGGTGGGGGGTCTGAGTTCACTGGCCATCAGCCTCTTTACTGGGCTTCCTTCCTTCCTCCCGCCCATGCTGCCCTGCCCCTGGCAGTGGCTTGGGAGGGGCTCACAGAGGTGGGTGTCAGTGATGTTCCAGCATCAGCTTTGCTGAGGGGGCTCACACTCCCCTGACCACCTTGCCCAGGGATGCAGGGAGGGCACCAAGGTGCCTTGTGGAGGTGAAGGACTTTAAGGACCTGAATGGGGCAGGGCAGGGCAGGGCAGGGTGAGGGGCTTGGGACCCCTTCTTTTAGCCTCCTGGCCTCCACTCCCCTGCTGTGGCCCCGGGTTCCTCCTCCCTTGGCCTTTAGAGCTTGGAGGAGGAAATTTCAGGAGGGAATTTCAGCAGGGGGAGTTAACTGTCTTTTCCCTGTCCTTTCAGGTGGATCCAAGAGTTTGGAGTTTAGCTCTGGCTTTTGGGCCCCATGTCACTCTAGATGACAGTGAGGGGTTTGGGTTAGGTTTCTGCTGCTTCCTCTCCCTTCCAGGTCTGGGAGGCTGGGAGTTTGAGAGCAGGAGGCTCTGGGTTTGGAGACATGGGGATGGGGAGGGCTGGACTTGGGGTCCGTGGGCTGTTTCAGCCCCAGGAAGAGGGAGCCAGAGCTGGTCTTGCAGAGGCTTCCAGTGTGTGGGGGTGAGTGGTGGCTGCTCTGCACACAGCTGAGGACGTGGCTGGATGGTCCGACACCCCTCTCCCCTGGGATGTGGCTGGGAGCCCATAGCATGATGTCACCCGCCGCCCTCCCACCTCATCTCTGTGCTCGGAGGAGGTCTGGCACATTGTCTCACCCTCAGAGCATCTCTGGTGGGGATGGGAGAGAGGGCAGCACAAGGGTTGAGCGCACACCCACAATCACCCAGCGAGGCCCTGATGGCCCGAGACCGACCCTGGGGGGCAGTTCTCAGACTTCTCCACTGAGGTAATTCCAATAGCCAAGGAAAGAATTATGTGTCACCCCAAGGCCAGGGTCAGACGAGGAGGGCGGTGGTGTCTGATGGGGGTCCCAGGAGGCTCACCACAAAGCTGTGAGATTTCATTGAAGTCTCTTAGTTTATCTCAAAAATGCGTGTGAATTTTATATTCACAGCCATGCTCCAACTATGCTTATTTTTACATTAGAAAGGGCTTCCCTCCAACAACTTTGAGTGAAACTGACCCTCCAGGCAGGCGAGCACTTGCACAGCCCCACCCACAGCTCTGGAGAGTCTGACTGGGGAGCATTTCATCAGACTTCAGGGCTGGTCTGACTTCTCTGTCCCATACAGTTGAGAAAATGGTGGCTCAGCCTGGTCCATCCTGGCCAGTCTTCTCACAAACTGTAACAGCCACAGGAGCTTTCGTCGATGGAGCTGGCTGTGCCACATGCAGATGCCAAGTGTTTTCCACGCTTTGTCTCTTGCCAACTCCTCGCGATGACGCAATGACGTCAGTAACGCAACTAACCTCCTTTTACAGAGGTGGAAACTGATGCTCAGGGAGGAGATGCTACCTGCTCTCACTGGCCACCAGATGGTGGAGTCAGGGGTTGAATCTGGCCTCCCAGCCCTTGCCTCATCCCTCTTGGTCTCTCTGTCGCTGGGTGGTGAGGGCAGGCAGTGGATGAGTGCGGGGAGGAATCCTGAGTGCTGGCCCTTGCCCGTAGGTGCCCCCCTGGTCAGCATGCCCGCCAGGATCCATGGCTACCTGCACCAGCCCCTGCTGGTCTTCTGCTCAGTGCACAGCGCCCTCCCCTTCCGGCTACAGCTGCGGCGGGACGGAGCCAGGCTGGGCGAGGAGAGGCATTTTCGGTGAGTGACTGATGGCTGCTCATTGTCCCCAGCCCCAGGGCTCCTGGGAGCTTACTGCCCTGGAGGGATCTGAGGGGAGTGGGTGGCAGAAGCGGGACCTTGGTCTCAGTCACACTGTCCTCCTGGGCACCTCCCAGCTTGGCCATGGTTGCGGGAGGGTGGTTCCCTGAGGCTCCCACCACTGCTGGGTCACCACCCCGTGAAGGAGTCATGGGCCTTCCCCAGATTCTGAAAACTTAACCCATGCAAGCCCAGCTCTGTGCTGGTCAGGGCAGGAAGGACCTGCTGAGCCCCTCCCCCTTAATGGTTGGAAGTGCAGGGCTCAGAGAGGGAAAAGGACTTGCTCAAAGTCACACAGCATATCGTGGGATTTGCATGTCCTTGGCTGCCTGCCTCTTCTTACCATGTCTCCAAGAGGATTTGGGGCCTTCCTTCTGGGCAAGATTCAGGGGATCAAGCCCCCAGAGGGCTGGATGAGGCTGGGGGACCTTGACTGAGGTCAGTGCGACTGTGTGTCTCCAGCTGTTCTGTGTTCGCAGGGAGTCAGGGAACAGCAGCTGGGAGATCCCACGGGCCTCCAAGGCCGAGGCAGGCATCTATGAGTGCACAGCGGTCAGCAGGGCTGGGACTGGACGAGCAAAGACCCAGATTGTCGTCACAGGTCTGTCCCTTTGGGCCCATCCACACATGCCCGCCCTACCCTCTTCGTGAGTTCTCCCTCTAGGATTTCCTCCCAGGGTTTCTCCATCCATGAGCGAGCGTGCCAGCCAGCTGCTGGGGACTGTCCATCATCCGGAATCTGACGCCCACACTGCACCTGCCTGCTGGGTCCCCTTTTGGCCTGTCTCGCCCACGAACGGCCTGTGGGCCTCAGCTGCAGGAAGGCTGAGAACCCCTACTTGGGCCATGGCCCCAGCCCCCAGCCTCAATCCCACCCCTGACTTCTTGGTCTGGCCTCTGGGGCCTGGTCAGCCCCCAGGCCCTTCTAGGAGCCATCGTCCATCTCGTAGTCTGGATCCCTTAATTCGTCCAGGCCCTGCCACGTGGCACCATTGGGCTCAGGAAGGTTGGAAATGCCACAGACCCTCTTGAAATGAAATTGGCTTTATTTTTAAAATAATGAGCCTAAACTCTCTTGAAGAGAAGAAAAGGGGCCCAAAGAACGTGGAGAGATCACCTCTCTGTATTCCTAATTGCACACAAAATCACGCGTGCTCCTCATAGGGAGTCGGGAAAATATAAACTAGCAAAAAGACATGGAAATAACCCATGACCCCTCGAATGTGGAGAGGACCTTGGGAGCATTCTGATTCACTTCCTTTTGGACCTGTAGCTATGTGTGCATTTGAACAAAAATGGTATAATTTGTCATCTATCACTACAGCATGCCAGCAAATATTTTACTGTTTATAAGTGGTGAGCAGAGAAAAGTAAAACAGAGAAAGGGAACTTGCACATACGTTTATCAGACCGAACGGGTGCTAATCTTTTGCCATATTTGCTTTTTCACTTTATAGTTAAACTTAAAAACTACATGGTAGGCGACCTGACATTTCAGTATGTAGCTCTCTTTTTTTAAAGTTGATTTTCCTATGTAATAAAGATTCTATGATTGTACCTAATGAAATGAACAGTAGGTAATACCTTAATGCTATTTAATTTGGCCAGAGTTGAATTTCCACATTAGCATGCTTGGACATCATGGTCACTGGCACGTGGACCAGGCTTTTTTCCTGCAGGTTCTCAGCCCACGTCCCTGGTTAGATGGCCTCTGATCTGTCACTTCTTATGGCCTCTTCCTCTTGAGAGAGCAGATTTCTTAGTTCTTTCCTCCTGTGGACAGTGGTCTTTTTTAGTTCCACATTGGCTGCTGTGTGTACAGAGAGTAGCTCTGTATTTGTCTGAGGCTTTATTCCCCAGGGTGGAATTATTGGCTCAAAGGGTGTGAAGAATGGTGTGGGTCTTGCTAAATACTGCAGTTGGCCGGTGTGGGGAGCAGGCACACACGCGCAGCCCTCGGCCGTCCCAGCATGGTGAGCAGATGCCGGTTAACTGCTCTGCTGGCCACCGTGTCCTGAGGGATGCAGCCGAGCTTTGGAGTCTGGACACCGCCAGGACCTGCAGGATGCCCCCCTCCCCATGTCAGCCCCTCAGTGCCTCCTGTGCTCCTGTTCCTGCAGACCCCCCACCGCAGGTGGTTCCTGTCCCCAACGTGACCGTGTCCCCAGGAGAGACCGCCATCCTGTCCTGCTGGGTCCTGGGCGAGGCTCCGTACAACCTGACATGGGTCCGGGACTGGCGAGTCCTGTCAGCTTCAACGGGCAGAGTCACACAGCTGGCCAACCTGTCCTTGGAGGTCAGCGGCACCATTCCCAGTGACGCCGGGCGGTACCAGTGCATGGCCAGCAACTCCAATGGGGCCGCGAGGGCGTCTGTCTGGCTCCTGGTGCGAGGTGAGGTTGCTGTCCTCCCAATTCAACACTACCTGGTGTTTTCCCCTCAAGTCCATCAAGCCATCCATCTGCCCAGCCATCACCTCTGGCAGGCAACATCAGCCCTTTCAGTGTTTTCTGAACCTTCAGAGAAAGGATTCTGTAGCCTTGCAGCGTAACTGTAGTGGTTTGCACAGTTGGAAAGTTCACCCTCATATCTAACCTAAGTATCTACTGCTGTAGGCCAAGCCAATTTCATTGGCTGTCCTTTTCCTATGCTATTGAGCACGTCCGTTGTCCACCCCTCCCAACATGTAGGACAGAGATGGAACATTGGAAACTTCTGAAAGCCCAGAGATCAGATGTGCTTGGCAGGGGCTGGGCAGCACTGACCAGATGAAGGTAGAGGAGGCAGTGCGAGGAGTGCACGGCTGGAAGTGTTAGTGCCTGGACGTAGTCTCAGGTCTGCCCAGGATTTAGACAGATCCTCCTCTTTTGGGTGCTATTTCCCTAAGTGTAAGAGTGAGCGTGTTGGAAAAAGATAGGTGAGTTGGCCTGGGAGGCCTGTTTGAGCCTGACAAGTCTGCTGTACTGTGAGCTTTCTGAGGGCCAGGATAGAACCTAAGTTTGCGGCCCATACGTGGGCAGACCTTGGGGTACACTCAGGGCCCCAGCCCTGGCATCTCGACAGCTCTCTAAGCCTCTTCAAGGTGCCCAGCCCAGGGCAGAAATCCAGGGAGCTCAAGGCCCTTGCTGGGGGGTGTTGGGAAGTCAGGTCCCTGTGGGGTCTGAGGATGCGACTGAGCAGCTGTCTGGTCAACCCCAGGTCCCAAGGAAGCTGCTCCTAGGGATGCAGGCCCCTCAGAGCCTTTGCTTCCTGTGTCTCCACCGTCTGTGGCTGCAGGGAGGGGAAGGGGGCCCAGGGCTGGGTGCCTGGTTCAGCACAGCTCCTCTGACAGGCTCTTCCCCACTTGTCCTCTCTTTAAAACACAGAGGCCCCCCAGGTCAGCATCCACACCAGGTCCCAGCACTTCTCCCAGGGTATGGAGGTGAGGGTCCGCTGCTCAGCCTCTGGATACCCGGCACCCCACATCTCCTGGAGTCGTGAGGGTCGTATCCTGCAAGGGGACAGCAGGTGAGAGGCCCGGGGCTTGGAGCTCTGGGGCTGGGAACAGGTGGTCAAGGACTCCCAGGGACCCCTCTGAGCCTCGGTCTTCTTAACTGAGAATGGAGGGGTAGCATATGCCCTGCCTTCTTCCTGGGATGACTTGAGACTCAGGAAGGGGATCACTTTGGAAACATAATGATGCCTCAGGGTGAGCCCCGGCATCAGGAGCTACAGCTCCAGAATCCCACAGACCTGTGCTTGAATCCTGCCTCTGCCAGTCAGGCTGTGTGACCCTGGATAAGTCACCTTACCTCTCTGAGCCCCATGAATGAAAAAAGGCCGCATAAATAAAGTGCTGACCACACAGCCCAGCCCAGAGCAAGCAGCCAGTGTAGAGCGGTGTCACTAGTGATCTTGTTAATTAATTTGTTAATTAACATAAATGACTGGAGCAACCACACATGACCCGATCTAACCGGCCCCTTGCTGTTGAACTTGTTTCATGGCACGACTCCAGAGTCCGTGTGGATGCCCACGGAACCCTGATCATTCAGGGAGTGGCCCTGGAGGATGCTGGGAATTACAGCTGCCAGGCTGCTAATGAGGTTGGCACAGACGAGGAGACAGTCACCCTCTACCATACAGGTACTCGGGCCGAGGGCATCTGCAGGAGAGGCGTATCCAGCGTTCCCCCTCCGGTCCACAATACTTACCGAGCATCTACTGTGTGGGAGGCACTGGGGATACGGCAGTGAACACATGGTCCCTGTCCAGATGGAGGGTAGTGTGATGATGTGATGGGCAGGTGGGGCGAGGGAGAAATGGCTGTTACTCACAGGACCAGCCTCCACGAGGAGGTGACCCTCGACACAGAAAGGAATGGGAACAGCATGCCAGGCAGAGGAACCAGGTAGAGCAAAGGCCACCAGGTGGGAATGAGTCTGGGTGCAAAGAGGCTGCAAGGAGGCTGGCTGGGTGGGGGTGGGGTGGGGATGGGCATTTAAGAATTTTGTAGAATTTCAGCTTTTATCCCAAGTTCAATGAGGGACAACAGGGTGGGGGTTGGCCCCAGGAGTAACTGGTTTTTTAAAAAACCAGCTGAAGTTACATCTTTCTGGGGTGACTGCCCCGGGTTCGGGAAGTAGGGGTGTGGGGTGGGGAGGAGGCAGGTGCTCACCATCCTGTCCCCACTGCCCCTCCCCCAGCTGGGGAAGGCTGCATTCTCACTCTAGGGAGTCTGTAGGTTGGTCCCTAATTCTCCATCTCCTCCCCACACAGACCCACCGTCCATCTCAGCCGTAAATGCTGTGGTGCTTGCTGCCGTCGGGGAGGAGGCTGTGCTGGCGTGTGAGGCATCTGGGGTGCCCCCGCCCCGGGTCATCTGGTATCGAGGTACGTTAGGTGGGAGAAGGGCCCGCAGAACCGTCCCTCTGGGGCCCCAGAGGATGGGGGCAGGATGGTCACGGGGATGGGGGCACTCCGAATAGTATATCTGGGGAGAGGGAGCCATTTCCAGCAACCCCCACTCAGCCCCAGTCCAGCCCAGTGTCCACAGAGCTGATGCAGGCTGGCTCTGTAGTCAGGAGCAGGATTTAAAATAGACCCAGATTTGAATTCCGGCTCCCCTGGTTGACCTTGGGCAAGTGACTTGACATCTCTGAGCCTGCTTCCTTAGCCAAAAAATGGGGGAAATCAAAGATGGTTGTGTCCATATGTGGATTAAATGAGTCCATATGTGTCAGCTCTTTAGAACAGGCCTGGCGTACGGGCTGGGCTCGCCGTGTTTAGTGATGGTGACGGTGATGGTGATGGTGATGGTGTGATTATCTGAGAGATGGGAATAGTGGTAAATGGCTGGTGTGAGGCTTTTCTGAGTTAACGGGTGTAGAGGGTCTTCTCTGAGCCGGGGTTTGATTCACGGGCGCTGCTCCTGGGCCCACACCAGTGGGCGTGGGTCCTGGGGCTGCAGCCGCACACTTTCTATAAGCAAAACGGCTCCATCTCCACCACAGCCCCCTCCCATGTGCAGGCACTGGTCCACAGCTGGTGGTGGCAGAGGCCTTGGGACTCTTTGCTCAGTGCTCCTGTCACTCTGTGCTGTGGCTGAGAGCTCCACCAGCTCGGATGGGGAGCCCCTTTTTGAAAGGGGATTTCTCAATGCAACGTTATTCAGCCTTAAGAAAGAATGAAATTCAAGTTGCACCACAACGTGAATAGAGTTACTACTGAACCGAGCACTTTAAAGTGGTTAGGGTAATGCATTGTATGTGCTTTTTACCATCATTTTTTTTTAATTTGAGAAGTTTTGTTACAACATGGATGAACCTTGAAAACATACTAAGTGAAATTAGCCAGACACAGAGAGACAGAGATTATATGATTCCACTTACAGGCATGGACTCTTACATGGGAGGTACCTAGAATATGCACATTTATGGAGACAGAAAGGAGAATTATGGTTGCCAGGGGCTGAGGGAGTGGAAAATGGGGAGTTAGTATTTAATAAGCCGAATTTCAGTTTGAGAAAATGAAAAAATTTTGTGGATGATCGGTGGTGATGGTTGCATAACAATGTGAAGGTACTTAATGCCACTGAATTGGACACTCAGAGTGCTTAAAAGGAAAAAATTTTGTGTTTATGTATGTTTTACCACAATTTAAAAAATAAAAAATTAAATTGTAAAAAGGTGTCAGAATCAGGGTGGTCCCTCAGGCTTCAGGAGCTTGGGGGTGGGGTAGGGGGACAGGGCAAGGACAGAGGGACAGTAGGCAGGAGAAGTGAGGGAAAGGCCCTCAGAGAGGCAGCCATAGGGGGGTGGTCATCTCAGTGACCCTGAGCCCCTCCCAGAGCCGATCCGAGCCTCCCCTTGCACCTGGGCAGAGGGCATGGGGACCCAGCAGGGAAGCCCAGGCAAGGAGTTCTTGGGTGATAATCCTGTCACATGTTGGGGAACAGGCTGAGACTCACTTCTGGTCAACAGCAGGGCTCGGGGAACTGGACCCAGGGGTGCTGACTTAAAAACTTTTTTTAAATTGTGATAAAATATGCATAACATTTGCCGTCTTAACAACTTTTAGGTATACAGTTCAGTAGCATTAAGAATATTTGCAGTGTCACACAACCACCACAACCACCACCACTCGTCTCTAGAACTCTTTTCGTTAAGCAAAACTGAAAATCTGTACCTATTAAACAATAGGGGTCCTGACTTTTATGGGGAGCCTTTCCCTCACACTCACCCCTCCAAGGTTCCAGCCTTGGGAAGTTGCTGGAGCCCAGGGTCAGGAAGGCAGCCTGACTCCTTGGCCTTCCACAGCAACCATGGGTACCTGCCTGATGCTTTCTCTTCTTTGGTCCAGGGGGTCTTGAAATGATTCTGGCCCCTGAGGCCTCCAGCTCTGGGAAGCTGCGGATCCCGGCAGCTCAGGAGAGGGATGCTGGCATCTATGCCTGCCGAGCTGTCAATGAGTTGGGTGACACCTCGGCGGAAATCCGGCTGGAAGTTGGACGTGAGTGTACACCTTGTCCCCACCTGCCCCCGCTCCCTACCACCTGCCCTACCTCTGAGCAGGGAAGAGAGAATGTAGCCACGTAACCTGCCAGTGGGGAATCTGCATCATATAGATCTAGAGCGTGTGGGGCAGGGGTTTCAGAGGGAGATGGTGTATGCGTTCCCTCTTGCTGTGTAACAAATTGCCCCCCCCCAAACTTTGTGGCTTAAAGCAATAAGCATTTATTATCTCACAGTTCTGGAAGGTCAGGATTCTGGGAGTGGCTTAGCTGGGTGCTTCTGGCCTCAGGGGCTCTCCTGGGATGGCAGTTAATACACTGGCCAGGGCATCGATCATCTGAAGGCTTGACCGGGGCTGGAAGATCTACTGTAAGTTCATTCATGTGGCTGTTGGCAGCAGGCCTCTATTCCTTACCCATATGGGCTTCTCCAGAAGGTTTCTCGTGACATGGATTTTCCCAGAGACAGTGAGTCGAGAGAGACAGAGATGGAGACGGAGAGGATACAAGATGGAAGCAGTAGTCTTTATAACCAGTCATGGTCTTGGAAGCAACATACCATCAATCCTACTGTATTCTGTTGGTCACACAGACCAGCCCTGGTACATGATGGGTGGGAGGGACCACTCAAGTGCGTGAGTACCAGGAGGCAGGGGTCACTGGAGCCATTTGGAGGCTGCCTACCACAGACAATTTGGTTCAACTTGGGCATTGTCATCCCCAAGACCTGAGTTCCAGTCTTGTCTCCATCACCTACCATGTATGTGCTTTGGTCAAGTCATTGACCCTCTGTTTCCCCATCTGTAAAATGGAGCTGACCACACTACTTCTTTTGTTGGGTTGCTGTGAGGGTTCAGTGAAATCAGGCATTAAATGCTTAGCACACGGTTTGGCCCATCATGAGTGCTTAACAGATGGAGAAGCGATTATCCCCTTTTTACAGACGAGGAGGAGGCTGGATTCTTCTGTGGCTGGTACATGGCCTTGCCTGTGATTGTCATGATGTCTAAGCTCCAGGACTGGATCCCGGGCACTGGTTGCTGCTCGGAAGTTGTGGGCACGACTCCTTGGCATGCTGAGCCGGAGCGGATTGGGCTCTGAGGGTTGGCTGTGGCCACAATGGGAGAGACAGGTGTTGGAAGTTCTGGGCAAGTGCAGAGAATGGAGAATGTACTTAACTGGGCTGGGTGGGATGGCCAAGGGGCTCCCCACGGAGGCTCAGTCAGGAGGGTCTGGCCCTGTGGGATATGGTGCCATCTCAGAGTTGGGATCCTCTCTAGCTTGGGGTACCCTTAGCCTTCATTCATCTCCATCATTTATTCCTCTGACATGTGGTCACCAAGTGGCTAGGCCCTGTGTCCAGTCCTGGGTTCAATCCCTGGTACCTCCATTAAAAAATTAAAAAAGAAAAGAAAAGGAAAGAGATGGTAAATAGACAATTATAATATTCAGTGTATCGAGCATTTAGAAGTAGCACTCTCGGGCCTGTGGGTGGCTTCTTTGTTTCTGGCAACACTGGAGGCCAGGAAGGCTTCTTGGAGGAGGCGATATCTAAGCTGAGCCTAGAAACAGTCAGGTGACAAGCCGGGGAACAGTGTTCCAGGCAAAGGGAACAGCATGTGCAGACCTCCCATGGGAAGGGAAGCAAGGTAGCAAGTGGGACGTAGAGACGGTGGGGAGAGGGGAGGCCGAGGTGGCTGCCCTGCTGTGGGTCACTCCCAGCCTCGGGTTAGGGAGCCTGATGGAGTTTGGGCTTTGTTCTGCGGGGGCAGTGAGAGGTTTTAAGGAGGAGAGTCTTGTGCTCAGACTTTCCATTTCTAGAGTTTACTGTGTGGCTGGGCTCTTGGGTAGGGTGGGGTGGGTGTGGAAAGTCATGGGCTTAGAGCCTGATAATAAAAATAGAAGTAAGACTTCTATGAAATCTGCCACATGCCAGGGCCAGCTCTAAGCATGTTTAATGTACCAACATGAAATCCTCCTCACAGCCCTTTGAGATGGGCTCTATCTGGTAAAACAAGGCCCAGAGAGGTTAAGTGCCTTGGCCAAGGTCACACACCTGGTGAGCAGCAGAGCTGAGATCTGGACCCAGGGTCCGGGCCTTTGGTCCCCCGGACTTGATCCTGATGCTCCCAGCAGGTGAGCTTGGACGCTGCTTCCCCACTCTGAGCCTCGAGCTCCTCACCCGCAAGTGTTCCTGGATGTTGTGTGAGTGAGAGATTGCAAAGACCTGGGACACGGCGGCTTGCCAAATGCCACTGTGGTTGTGATTAGTCAGCAGAGAGGGGGCTCCAGGGAGGGCTGCTCTTGGCATTGGTACAAGAGTCATCCTTTGCTGAATGTCTCGTTTCTTTTTAGCAAAGCCTTATTTCTTTGGGGCCCAGGCTGACACGCCTGTCTTGTCCTGTCTCTTCACCTGCCAAGCCATTGGTCTTGTGGCCCTTTCCTCCTGTCAGGAGGAGGAGGTGGCTGGCATCCCAGAAGTAGGCTTCTGGGGTCACTGGGCCATTGGTGGCCTCTGACCTTCAGGTCAGGGACGGGGTGGATCGTGGCCCAACAGCTGTATGTCTGGGGCGAGCTGGCCTGGCAGCAGGGGTGGGAAATTGAATTTCCTGCCCATCTGCGTGACAGCTGTGGTGTAGCCTTCCTGGCCAGGTTGGCAGAGCCTTCCAGAGCTGGGAACGGGTGGGCACTGTGCCCACTTCCTGCTGTTCAGCTGGGAACCCGCTTCCTGGTGGCATTTGGGGTACAGAAAGGAGGGCAGCCAGGGCCTGTATTTGGGGGCCGCCCTGCAAGGTGCTTTGGCATTCCCTCTGGACCTGGCATTTGGCAGAGGAGAGTCCTGGATCGACGTCCGGGTCCTGCTGCTTGTTTGGCCAAGCTATTTACGTTTGTGAACCTCAATTTTCTCATCTGTGAAATGGGGATGATTATAGTAGAGGCTTGCTCATAAAGTCCTTGAGAGATTTAATGAGATAATGTGCTTCACTCCAGGCTTGAATGGAATGGATACTCCATAGACCGGCCATGGGCTGGGCAGGGCTGACAAGGACCTGGTGAGGCCGGGTGATTTGTCACGTGGCTGTGACAGGGCTCTGGGGCGGTCCCCCCTCCCCGAGTTCGATGCCTTTTCTATTTTACTTTAAAACTTCCCTGAGCTCAGTTCTCTTTGCCCTGCTGGAGTTCTCGCCAAGTGGGTGTTCACGCAACCCTGTTTCTCTCCTCTGATTCTAATCTCTGCTTCCTGTTCCCAACCCTGAGGCCCCTGCTTGCTGGGTGGATGCATGGGGGGCAGGGGTGTGCTTTTGTGGAAGCGAAGACCCTTTGGCCAGCCTGGGGCAGTGGGAGAGAAACAGAGCCTGGCTCCGTGGCAGGTTTGGCCAGTATCCGGGCGGCTTCTCCATCAGGCCTCAGCAGCCAGGCCCAGAGGCCGTGACACTTTTAGGGCCCCTGGACAGTGTTCTGATTTGAATTTCTTTTGACATCAGAAGAGGAAAGTGAAGAATAGTAAATAGATAAAAATGAATGTAGCCTGGATTGGGTTTGTCTTTATAAACAGTCATAAAATATAATTTAGAATTTTTTTTTAGGGAGAAAGAGGCCTGTGAAAGTCATGCTCCAGCCCTGGCCAGTGGGGCTGTGGCTCCAGCCCCAACCTCAGGATCTTTCTGTGGGGGAAGGAGTCTTCCCAGGAGGGGCTGCCGAGGCCATCCAGCAGCCTTGTCTCATTCACAGACACCCTGGGGTTCTCTCTAAGCGCAGGGCAGGGCCTGAGGCCGGCCTCTCCCGTGGCCCACCCTGCCCACCTGTCCAGTCTTTGGGCCTGAGACCAACCCCCTTCCTCCTGGCCAGACTAAGTCAACGCTGATCGCGCTGCTGCTTCCCAAGCAGGCTCAGGGCTCTGAGTCACAGGAACCGGGGGCTGGCAGAGGAGATGGGGGGCTGCAGGGTCTCCAGACAATAGTAAAGAGCCCTGGAGCTTTAAAGTGTTGGAACCAGGGTGAAAACAGTTACCTCTTTCTGGGTGGGGAAGCCGAGGCACAGAGTGGTAAAGGGGTTCACCCCGGGTCCCCAGTGGGGCAGGGGCAGCGTGGGGGCCCTGCCCAGGCAGGCTTCAGGCCTTCAGGCTGGTGTCCCTCGCCCTGGACGCCAAGTCAGAGGAAGGAAAGTCGTCACTTCTGTCAAGGTGTTGCCATCCTAGAATCCGTGGGTGTCTTTCCCTCTAGACAATCCCTGGGAGTTGCGGGGAGTGGTCCCATCTGCTGGGTGCTGTTAACTGCAGTCTCAGCTCCTCTGAAGAGGGGAAAGCAGTGGTGGGGGTTGTGGGGACAGGCAGAGGCAGCCCTCAAGGTGGCCAGACCTTCCTGTCTTGCCCTGTCCTGGGCTGCTGGCTGGCATACTTCAGGGGGCCTATTCTCTCTTCCTGTGTGTTCCAGGGTCCCCACGCAGAGCTGCTGCCCCACTGGCACATGGCAGCTGTCAGCTGATGAGACCTGGGCCTCCCCAGGGAGCCCAGCGGCTTCTGTGATGTCCACCTGTCTTGGGGCATTCACAGCTCCTGCCCCAGAAACCTGCCCAAGGCCAAGGCAGAAAAGGGGCCCATCCCTGAGGAAATCTGATGGTGGTAGAGCCAGCTACCTCACAGTCCCCCCTCCCCTGCAGAGGGTCACCTGAGAGTCTGTGAGGAGGGGGCTAGAAGCCTGAAAGCAGAGGTGGCTGAGCCTCTAGGATGAGGCCCTGGAAGGGGCCCGGGCCAGAAGCCTGGCTCCGCCATGTGCTGCAGGATCAGGTCTGGCCCCACCCCTCCCTTGGGCCTTAGTCTCCCATCTGCACAGTGAGGGGACGAGAGGACCTTCAGCGCTAGTGTACAGGGTTCTGGGGTCCTGCCTTATTTAGGGGGTTCCAGTGAGGAACAGGGGGATGGCTGAACGGGAGACTGAGTCACCATTTTCTGGGCAGGATCTGAGACTAGAAAGTAGCTGCTTTGAGATTCACCTCTGGAGAGGACAGAAGAGGCACCAGGTTATCCCGAGTAATAGGGGGAAGGCAGAGGTGTGGTGGCTGAGAGCCTGGGCCTTAGCAGCAGCCAGACCTGGGCTCTGATCCCAACTCTGCCATTGACTTTGATCTGCGTTTCAGGCTGGTTCCTTAATCTTGCTGGCCCTCAGTTTCCTCATCTGTAAAATGGGGTTGTGATAATACCCATTTCATGGGTTTATTGAGACCATGAATGAAATCATGTTTCTAAAAGCACCATCACCATAGCTGTCAGTAGGCATTCCAGATGCTCCCCTTTGTGCATGTTATTTGCTTATTATTACGAGTCAGCTGTTGCTTCTCAGAGGGAAGCACTGGACTGGGAGGAGAACAGGGAAGGGAGCATGCTCTACAATATCCCACAGTCGGGAGACAAAGCTGGGCTGTTTGGCTAAGGACAGAGGGGGTCAAGAAGTAGTGTGAGAGAGACAGTGGGTGGAAGGCCTGCCTGGAGGAGGGAGCTTTGAGCTGAGCCCTGCAGGGGGTTGGGCAGAGCGGGGAAGGAAGGCTCTGGGGATACCTGGCCTTGGACCTGAGCCTCAGCTCTGCCCTGGAGGCCCAGGAAAGGGGAGGAGGAATAGCAAAGCCATGCCCCCCAGGACCAGGGCTCCGCAGGACCAGTAACCCCAGCTGAGGTGCCCAAATCAGAGGCTTTCTTGAGTTCTGAGCTGCGGCAGCTTCCAGGCCCCAGCGAGAAAGGAAAGCGGCGTGCGGGTGGTGTCTGAGTTCGGGTCCAAGATTGCCTTCCTCCTTCGCGGTGATTTTCCAAGCTGTGTCTGGATCTCCCTGGAACTTCCCTACTTCTTGAAGCCAGGAGGGAAGTTTGATGTCATGCTTTGGATGGATAGGGGAGATTTCTGGAAAGAGACTGCAAGAGGAAAGGGGCGGAGGGTTTTCCATGGTGTTGGATGCAGTGGGTTACAAACAGGTCGAGGGACCTTCCAGGTCATGGGTCTGGGGACAGGGACCTGAGGACAGTGCCCAGAAGCTGCAAGGCGCAGGGCCTGGACCTGTCTGGAGTTGGACCTGCTTCTGGCCCGCAGAAGGGTGGAAAGGAGCATGAGTTTCTGTTTTGGGAAATAACTTATTTCCACTCCCTGATTATAAAAGTAAGACAATACTTAGAAAAAAGTTTGGAAGAAACACTACAAACTATTAATCGTGGTTACTCGTGGACCTTGTATGAAGGGTATGGGATTTGGGGCATGTGGAACAAAAATTAAGGAAATAAACTCTGTGTGTTACTTGAACTTTCTTTATAACTCAGGTGCGCAGGGCGGCCTGGCTTAGGTCTGTCATCCCGGTGTAAGGATGCTCTTTTCACTCTCAAGTGTCCCATTGTGACCATAAAGTATAAGGTCAAGTTATTTATAGGCCTGTTTTGATTTTGTGTAGAGATTTATATGCTTATTACAAAATGTTCAGCAAGCGGAGAAGGACGTAGAGAAATAAAGATGTTCTAGAATCTCCCCAAGAAGTTGGCTCTTTGGGGTTGTGGAAATGGTTGCCGGAGTCCAGGGCACCAGTGAGAGGAAGCTCCTGTGGCCCAAGAGGACATGGTGGGGGAGCTCAGAGGCAGTGGGGCTTCTGTGACCCAGCGTGACTTGCAGCCCCTCCAAGGTGGGCTTCCCGGGAGGTGTCGCCGCCAGGAGCAGGCATGTTGCTGCCCTGCACGTCTGGGCAAAGCGAGGTCCCCGAGACCCCATGCAGGGTAGGAGGTGCATGGGCAGCTTCATCCTGCCAAAGGCCACTCCCTCTACTTCACTGTCCCCACGCGCTCTCCAGGGGTGGACCCGGCCAAGTTCAGGTTGGCCCTGGAGCCCTGGAGATGAGTCAGCCCCAGGTTCACGAGGGTGAGGCTGGAAGAGAAGGAACCTTCCAGAAATGGGAGGGGAGGCCGTCCTCGGAACAGTGCTCTGGGGGCTGGGTGGGTCCAGCCTCTGGGGTGTGGCTGACCAGTCATCTGCCTGCAGATGCGCCCCAGCTGAAGGAGCTGCCCCGGGATGTCACCGTGGAACTAGGGAAGAGTGCCCTCCTAGCGTGCCGGGCCACCGGCCGCCCGCCCCCGACAGCCACCTGGCGCCGTGGAGATGGCCAGCCACTGGGGCCCAGGCTGGGCAGCAGGACTGGGCAGGCCGATTCAGGAGTGCTGTTTTTTGAAAGTAAGAGATTGGGGCTGAGGAACGGTGGGCAGGGAGACAGAATGGCTTCCAACACCCTCAGCCCCCAAAGTAGGTGGCCAGGAGCAGGAACTTGACCAGCAGGTCTGACCTGGGGTCAGGCTGATGCAGGGTCATATTTTGGCTTTGCAACACCTCTTGACCCCTCCAATCACACTACAAGGTGCAGGTTTTGATAAATGATCCCCATTCTACACATGAGCACACTGACGCCTTCTCACCCTTCCAAGGCCTGGCTGTATCCCATATCTGTTTCCTCCCTGCCATCCCAGCCATCTTACCTCTGCAGGGCCAGGCTGTGCCCAGGGCTCTGTCTGCACCTGGGGAGCTGGAGCCTTTGGGGGCTGGAGCCATGGTCTGCTCTGACAGTCGGGCCTGCCTCTTTCCTGCCCCTCAGGTGTGGTCCCTGAAGACCAGGCCCTGTATGTCTGTGAAGCTCAAAATGTCTTTGGGAAGGTGCAGGCGGAAGCCCGCCTCATCGTGACTGGACATGGTTCGCTGGTGGATCTGGAGGGTTTGGTGGGGAGGCCGGGCACCCCCGGGGAGGCCCCCATGATTGCCTGTCCTTTGGGACAGGTGTGTCCACAGCCAGGTTCTCTAAGAGGAGTATCTGGACCCCTACTTTCTGGGCAATGTGCCCCAAAAACTGTGCCCTTTGACCCTTTAGGATCCCTAATCCTGATGCTCCCACTGGGGAGAGGGGCCTCTGTCCCCTGAATGACCACTCACAGGAATCCAGTGTGTCCGACACTGTCGTCTCTCCCACAGCCCCCCCACAGATCGCCAGCAGTGCATCCACCGTCCGAGTGCTGGAGAGGCAGCCCGTGTCCCTGCCCTGCATCATCCTGGCTGGGAGGCCCCGCCCCGAGAGGCGCTGGCTCAAGGCCGGCCGGCCGGTGAGTGCTGGGCCCCTGGTGCCCAGGTGGAGGCGCTGTCACCTTCACGCCTTAGCCTGCGCTCTGTGGTTCCCCTGTTTTGTTCTGTCTTGATTTTTATTTATTTATTTTTTATTGAAGTATAGTTGATTTACAATGTGTTAATTTCTGGTGTACAGCATAGTGATTCACTCATAAATATGTCCCTTTTCGGATTGTTTGTCATTCTAGGCCATTACTAGGTACTGGGAATCGTTCCCAGTGCTATACAGTGGGACCTTGTGGTTTATTTTATGTAGCGGTTCCCCTGTTTTGGAATGTCCTCTTCCTTCCTCCCTCTCTTTCCTGCCTCTTTCCAGAACCTTCTCTGGTAATGCACGGATGGCATCCTTCACCCTCCAAAGTCCTTGGCCGGAGGACCTTGTGCTTCATTAGAGCAGCCGTTTAGTGGGGGCGCAGACACAACGCACTTGTCACCCCCACTCTGATGGCTCCAGGGCAGAGGTGGGACCCGTGCAGCTTAACATCTGGCCTGGCTGCCTAGCACACTGCTGGGCGCACAGTGGCTGCTTTGTCCCTTCCTGTTGATTTGATTCTCTTTATTTTCCACTGTTTCCCCTCTCCTATTCACTCCTTTGCAGCTCCCTTTTCTTCAGTGCTTGTGGCCTGTCCTCAGACATCCCGGGGCCTTTGCCCTGGAGGCTGTGGAGAGGTGCCCCCACCCAGCAGACAGCAGACACCGGACATGCAGGCAGGCAGTGACTGTGTGGCATCTTTCTATTCCCACGGCCCTAGTCCTGGCCCCGTTGTCCCAGCCCTAATGCAGGGCAGACAGGGTCCTGCTTCCGGAGCGTACAGGCTTGGAGGAGGCTGATCGTGTCTATGACACCCTCTGCAGTCTGTGTAATGAGATGTGACCCTGAGGAGGACTCTGCCTGGGCGTGTGGGCTGGGGCAGTGAGGCGCCTGCCTCAGTATAATCTGATGGGCCTCATCCACGCCAGGACGGGGAGTGGCCAGGGACCCAGAGCCTGTTTTAGCTCAGTGGGGACACTGGGTGGACCCGTGCCTGCCCAGCTGCCAAGTGCAAGGAGCAGAAACCCCCTCAAGCTCGCTCAGCCTGAGAGGGTCTGGTACCAAAACAGCCAGGAGGATCTTCTGGACCCTGAGGGCAGAATGTGCAGCCAGGCTCGCAGGACAGGGTCAGGGAGGCCCAAAGCAGGCTCAGGCCTGGTGGGAAGGTTTTTGGGCCCCTCATCAAGGATGGACTGGCTGGACATCTTTACAGAGGTTGCCCCAGGCCCCACCCTGGTCCTGACGGGGACACACTGGGACAGCCATCAGGATGCTTCTCTCTCTGGGACCACTTCTGACGTGGCCACACCTCTGCTCTGCCCCACATGGCTCTGTTCACTCCCCACAGACAGGTTGTCTCTTCTCTCTGTGGCCTCAGTGTGGAGCTCAAGCCCCTACTCAGTAAAACCTCTGGCCCCAACTCCGTACTCCCAATGTTGTGGAAAAATGTGTTATAGCTCAGTGTGACAGCTCAGTTGGGACAGCAACCTGGATCTGGGCAGGAGACCAAGCAGCACTCAGAGAGCTGGAGAACTCAAATTTATTACACCAGCGGGCCCACAAGAGTTAACACTTCAAGCTCTGGACCCCCATCTGTAGGTTTACACAGGCCTTTTCTAGGCTGCCAATTTTATACTTTGCAACATCATATGCAAATAAAGTACAACAGAAGTTGACCAATCAGGAACAAGCTTTGTAGAAATAGGCCAATCAGGAGTGAGTGCCATGCAAATGAAGTACTACATAATGAACCAATCAGAAGTTATGGAAGTGGACCAATCAGAAGTGAGAGTAATAGCCAATCAGGAGTGAGAGTATAACCAATCAGAAGTGAGAGTAATAACCAATCAGGAGTGAAGGAAGTAACCAATCAGAAGTGACCTCAGGGGACCAATAGAACTTTAGGTGTAAGTTAGCCGCTTTAGAGGCAAAAAGTGAGACAGAGCCTCTGGGCCAGGGAACTGGACGGTGCTGGGAGGAGAGCAGCGGCCCTGCCTAGGGGTCCTGCCGGTCTTTTTATGGAGCTTCCCGCCTCACCAGGAGAGGCTCCCTTGCCCTCCTTGGGTCAGGTGTCTTGCCGGCTATGGGAGGGTAGGGTCAGGGGTGGGGTATGCCGCAGGTCAGGCCCACCTGGCTCTGAGGGTCTGTGGGGGTGGACAAGTCTCAGGGAAGTGGTGGGAGCCAAGTGGTTGTGACATCCACCCCCACCTACCTTCTCTGAACCCCTGGCCTCTCAGTCCAGGCTGCCCTCTACTGGCCTGGCAGGCGGTGCACTTTCTGGAGGGCTCTCTCTTAGCTGGTTCCGAGTGGGGCCCTTGGTCCAAGCTGGTGCTTCCTTATCTTACCAGCTCCCACCTGGCAGCCGGCATTCCATCCGAGCAGACGGCAGCCTTCACCTTGACCAAGCACTGTTGGAGGACGCAGGGAGGTACAGCTGTGTGATCACCAACACTGCAGGCTCTCAGCATAGGGATGTGGACCTGGTTGTCCAGGGTGAGTCCTGGAGTGGTAGGGGCGGGACAGGGGACAGGACGGGATGGGGGAAAGCCCCTGGGGGGATCTTGATCTTGAACACCTTTGTTTTAAAAAATTGCCCAAATAGTACATATTCACTCTAGGATATTTAGAGATTGGACAAAGAAAAAAAAAGTAGCTACGAAGAACCAGAATAATTTTACATTTCAGTGTGTATCTTTTATACTTTCTACACACATGAGCTTGCACAGGTAAACATACAAACACGGTATATATGTATATACATTACATATATTCTTTATGTACATTGTATATAAATTATTCTCATATGATATACTTTATAAAAATTATATATAAATTCTTTGTATACACATACACACAGATACTTAAAAACCAACTGGAACCACATAATATTACTGTCTTGCAACCTGAGTGTTTCTTGCAACAATATATTATAACTTTTCTGTTAATAATAGTCAAAGCATCCTTTAAGACTGCATTGTCCCCTGTTTGGATGAGTCAGGAGTATATAACCTGTCCCCTCCTGTCCAGTTTCTCACCAGCATGAACACCTGGGCTGAAGGTCCTCATGCTCCACCTTTGCCCACATGATCAGTTCTTTCCTTAGGATAAACTGTTAACGTGGACTTGAGTTTAGACCCACAGAGATTGCACATTTTTAGGGCTTTTTGTGTATTTTGCCCAGTTACTCTCCCACCCATAGTGTTGGAGGGTCCCTACTTCCCTTCACCCACCCAACCAGGTACCACCGTTCTTTTTAGCATAAGACAAGAAGTTTCAACTAAGTTTGGTTATGTTTTGTCGTTTATCTTGGAAGTTAATATCGTCTTTTTGTTTGTTTGTGTCCTTTGCTTTATTAACCCCCCAAGGGATGAGCAGAAAGAACTCATTGTTCCCCATTTGGTGGAGCAAAACCAAGGTTCAGGAAGAGGCTGGGTCGAGAATCCAGCTGTCCTGTCTCCTCATAATTTCAATTAATAACAGTGATCAAAGGTCGGCCATGTGTCATGTGCCAGACCTCTGAGAGCTTCTGTGTATGTTTCACTTAATTTTCTGTTGCTCCAAGAGGTGCGTTTCAAAGACTGCACATTCTGAAGTTAAGGAAGCTGAGGCACACAGAGGCAGGGTAACTCACCAAATCACAGGATCAGGGAAGGCTGCCTCTGCAGAGAGCATCACCCCCTAACTTCCCACCAAGCAGAGGTGGACGGCCGTCAAGCTCGTCTCTTGGCTCATTTCATTTCTGTCCAGCAAATACTCATTGACTTGCTGGCTTTGGCCACCTGGGAGAATCTGGGAGGGCATTTCCCTCCCTAAAGGATCGGAGTATTACTGTCAGAGCCCTTGGCTTCCGGCTCTTCCTCTCAAATTTTCCATGCCAGTTCCCCCTCCCCCGCTCCTCTTAGAGATCCCAGCCCCTCCCCACTTTCTATTTTAATGCCTGCAAATCTGGATGATGCTCAGGATGGATTTGGCACTTGTTTTCAAGTTCATTGTGTCCTGTGAACACTATTTTATGCCATTTCTCATCTGTCCCTCCCCAGAGAGTGGGCAGGGAATTCAGGTCAATTTAGTTTTTTTGCTGATCAAGGAATATGGGTACCAAAAGATTAAGTGGTTTATCCAAAGTTCCAGAGTTAAGAAATGACAAGCTGGCTCCTAGACACAGGCTGCCCTTTGTCTGGGGCATGAATTTATAACAATGATGGCTGTATTCTCCTGTTAAAAATTTTTTTTATCACGGTAAAATGCACATAACATAGTACTTACCATTTTAACCATTTCTAAGTGTACCTTTCAGCGGCATAAGTGGCTTTCACATAGTTGTGCCGGCAGGTTTGTTTGTCCAACAGTCAAGACGAAACGCTGAGACCCTGAGATTTGCAGCAAAGGGAGTTTATTCACGAGGCAGCCAAACAAGGAGATAGGAGAACAGGTCTCAGATCTGCCTCTTGGAAGGCGAGGGGCTTGGGATATTTACAGGATAAAGAGGCAGGGTGGTCTCAGGCGTGGGGAAAGGAAATTGCAGGTAGGAAAAAGGTGAGGTCACGGGTGTTCTGTGCAGGTGTATCTGCTTTACTTGCATCTTCATGGGATGCATGTTGGAAAATGGAGGTGCCTAGCGTGATCGGAGGGTGGAGTTTTTGGCCCTCTGATATCTAAAGGTCATTCATCAGACACCTGCCCAGGGCCCAGTTTTAGGGTCGGTGGTCCCAACCAGTCTTAGCCAGCTTGAGCTCAAACTAGACCCAGCTGACTTCAAGTTCCTAGAAAACAACTGGAGTAAACATCTTATTGTTTAGGCTACATGAAGCTTACAGGGCATGCAATTTGCAGCAAAACAATTAAGCGAGCTCGTTCAGCAAAGCCAGGCTCAAGCAGAGGGGATTTTAACCAGCTATCAGACAAGCTCAAGAATTTCTGTTAGTTGCCAGTTTCTGTTAACCCCATGGGGCACAGTTTCAGGATGGGTTTTTTAACTCAGTAGGACACTTTTTCACAACCAGCACCACCATCTATCTCCAGAACTTTTTCATCTTCCCAGGCTGAAACTCTATGACTGTTGCAGCAAAGTGTGTTACAGCTCAGTTGTGACAGCAACCTGGATCTGGGCAAGAGACCAAGCAGCACTCAGAGGGTTGGAGAACTCAGGTTTATTATGCCAGCGGGGCCAGAGGAGTTAATACTCCAAGCTTTGGACCCCGTCTGTAGGTTTACACAGGCTTTTATAGGCTACCAGACTAGGCTTTGCAACATTTTGTAACATATGCAAATAAGGTGTAACAAAGGTGACTAATTAGGAACAAGCTTTGTAGAAATGGACCAATCAGGAGTGAGAGAAATGGACCAATCAGGAATTAGCTCAGGGAGCCAACAGAATCTTAGGGATAAGTTCTGCTTTCCTAGAAGTAAGCTGTTTCAGAGTTTAAAAAGCGAGATAATTCCACAGGGCCAGGGAACTGAATGGTGCTGGCAGGAGGGTAGTGGCCCTGCCTGGGGGTTCTGCCATCTTTTTCATGGGGCTTTCCACCTCATGACCAGCGTGCCATCCCTGATTAAGCACTAACTCCCCATTTTCCCCTCCCCCAGCCCCTGGCAACCACCATTCTACTTCTGTCTCTATGAACTTGCTTGTTCTAGGCATCTGATATGAGTGGAATCATACAATGTTTGTCCTTCTGTGTCTGGTTTATGTCACTTAGCATCATATTTTCAAAGTTCATCCATGTTGTAGTATGTTATCAGACATTTATTCCTTTTTAAGGCTGAATAATATTCCATATATACACACCATATTCTGTTTACCCATCATCCTTTGATGGATGGATATTTGGATTGTTTCCACCTTTTGGCTATTGTGAATAATGTTCTTCTGATCTTTGGTTTATGAAATTGGTTTGTTTTAAAAAGTGCCACCTAGAATCCAGCCCACTGCCACCCACCATATCACCAGTGAAGGGGTTCCAGCCTCTCTCCCCTGTGTAGCCTCAGGAGTTCCCACCCCCACCATCACCTGGACCAAGGTAGGCAAAGCCTGTTACCATAAAGGTAATGACAGAGATAGGCCCAGTGCATCATGGGGAGAGAAATGATGCAGACTGCCGCACTGGAGTGTGGATTCTGCTGATGTCACCTGTGATCTACCGCAGGAAACCAATGCCCTGGCCTCCAGGAATCCCCACTACAATGTGAGCAAGGATGGCACCCTGGTCATCACCCGGCCATCTGCTCAGGATGCAGGGGCCTATGTCTGCACGGCCACCAACGCCGTGGGCTTCTCCAGCCAGGAGATGTGGCTTTCTGTCAACAGTGAGTGATGGCTGCTCCTGTCTTGGGAGAGGGACTTGGGAGGCGTGGGGGACAAGGGCATGAACAGTCTGACCTTACCTGCATCTTCTTTGCACCCTGTCAACCCTATCTCTCAATTCTTTCCATCTGAAGGGCATGCAGATCAAAGCTGTCCTCCCTCATGGCACTGATCCCAGCAGTATGAGCATGCTCATGGTACCAGGAGTGGTTCCAACTCAGCCCTCTGTAACCAGATGGAGGGAATTAACAAGCGTTGGAAAGACACAAGGCCCTACACCGGACCCCCTCCCACCTTGGCAGCCCTCTCGCCCACCCTTCTCCCTGACACTTTGTGCCCAGATCCTCTGGCTTCCTTTCAATTTCTTAAACGGATCCATCCTGCCTCAGGGCTTTTGCACATGCAGTTCCTCCTGTTGGAATGCCATTCCCTCCTCACCTCTTGGCCCAACTGACTTCTCCCATCAGTCAGATCTCGGCTCTCTGGCCCCTCAGCTGAGTCAAATCACCTTGCTGTGAACTCTCTGGAAAGTCCTCTTTAAAGCCCCCATCACAAATGGGATTAAGTAATTAGTTGTATATTGAGCTGTTTGGAACCAGTGTTCCCCTGGGACCTCAAGGACAGGGAGATTGGGCATCATCTGGTGATTGATCCCATTTATTCCTGAGAATATTTGAGATGATTGAGGGAGAGAAGGGAGGACAGAACCTGCCAGAATGTCCCTGGGGAAGGGAAACCAGACAGAAGCTAGAGGAGTGGAGACACTGGGGCGGGAGGACCATTCTAGGGTCATCAAAGCAAGATAAGCTTTCAGAGGGAGGATGGTCGTGGACAGGTAGGGGGAGACTGGGGGAACCATCGGATCTGGGCCCACCCCGAAACTTACACTCCCTCGTTATAACAGAGCCCACCCACCTTCTGTACCTCTCCGGGGGCAGTACCACCTCAGCTGCTTGGGGGAGCCATGCTGGTCCCCTCCGGGCCCCATCCCTGGTTCCCTACTCTGCTCACAGTCCCTGATGCTTCTGCCAACAGCCAGGCCCAGGATCCTTGTGAACGGGTCACATGACGCAGACAAGCCTCTGAGGGTCACAGCCAAGGCCGGTGATGAGGTGACCCTGGACTGCGAGGCCCAAGGCACCCCACCCCCATTGGTCACCTGGACCAAGGACTCCCGCCCTGTGCCTCCCATCACCGACAGGTAACCCCAGTCATGTGGCCTCGGGTCTGGGGATGGGCAGAGCTTGGGGTTTGAGAAAACTGACCTCAAGGTGACGAGTGACCCAGCTGATGTGTGGGATCCTGTGGACACTCTCAGGGGGATGCAAGGGCCACTGAGGGAGCATGGGTGCCCTTCAGAGGGGTGAGGCCCTCGGGAATAACACGCACTGTGCTTCACGCGCCGGCCGCAGGGCGCTGCGTGCAGGACCTCCTTCAATCTGCACAGCAGCTCTTGTCCGAGCGGAACTGAGGCTCAGCGAGGTGGTGTGGACTGAGCTGCTCGCTGTCACTCAGCTAGAAATGAGTAACACCATGGCTGGAACAGTGTCCTGACTCCTCACCTGACCCGCAGCCCAGGTGCCTGGCGGCTGGGCCTTCAGGGGTCCTGGGAGTGGGCAGAGAGGGAGGAGGCTGGCTTGGGCGTCCTTCAAAGCCAGGGCGTATCCCGACCCCAGACAGGGCGTGGGGCGGGTTGATTCCAGACAAGGAGGCCTCAAAATTCCTGCGGCCCTTGACCTTTGAAGGGGAAGGGGGAGAGAGGGTAGCTCTGGCTAGTGACATCAGTCCTGGCGAGGTCTTTGACAAGTTCCAGACGGAGGAGGTCTCAGAGCAGCCTGCGGTGCAACCCCCACCCCCTGACCCCCACATATGGGACTTTGCCTCTCGGAACATCTGTTTGGTGGGTGAGCGCTCCCAGTCCTTGAAGCTGCGCACCTGAAAGCAAGCCCTTTGGTGCCCGTGCAGCTCCAGGTCGTGGGTCGGGGTGGGGTGGGTGGAGGCCGGGGAGCCTGCATTTCTTCCCAGAAAGCCTGGTCCTAGTTCCTTGGCTAGGCAGCCACCAGCGGGTGCGTGTTTATTTTTGACTTGTTGCTGAAATGGGGAACCACAATTCCCATTTGTTCACCCCTCCTTGTTGTGATGAGTTAATAGATCAGCCAGGAACCATAAATTTGTGAGAGCTGCTTTTGCAATCCTACAGTTTTGTTCTGTTCCTCTTCATTGCCCTCTCCGCTTCTTGCTGGCTTATGGCCTTCTCTTGAGATTTACGAGATTCTGGGAGTTTATCTAAAAGGGGAGGGAAATATGCCTGGGATTGTGGGGGCTGGGGTGAAGGGCTCAGACCCCGGAGTTCATCACATCTGAGCGTGGATCCCAGCTGGTTCTGTGTTAGTCGTGTGGTCTCAGGTGGCCACCGGTTCCTCTTGGCCTGTTTCTCCATCTGTAAAGTGGACACTTTAAATACTGCCCTTGAGATATAGTGATGGATGTGCGATGCTGGAAAATCACTCCCTCTGGTATCATTTTCCTGCTGCTGCTATAAACTAAAGCATCATTTCCAGCTTTTAAAAAATTATCATCATCATGTCTATCTCATTTAAATTCTTACCTACTTCTTCAAATATAAAAGTTCTTTTGAGATGGAATTCACATGCTGTACAATTCTATGTTTTTTAGTAAATTCAGTTGTACAGCCATCACTACAGTCAATTC